TCTAGTAGGTAGGTGAAAGGAGACAATTTTTTTAGGGAAGACAATTTTTCCGTCGGTACCCGGATTCGAGCCCGAGACCTTTGAATGAGTGGCGAATACCTTGACCTCTAGGCCACGAGAGCCTCCACTCTCCTCAATCTCTCACTCTCAGTCAACGCGTCCGGGGTAACAGTAACAGCAATTATTATGATGACGAGCTTTTTATTTTTAGGTCAGGTGTATGGTGGTACTTTCCCCCAAAGCTGGTAAGACCAGACCTTCACAATAGAGTCTACACTACATGCATGTGTACCAAAGCCGGCTAAAGTGAGAATCTGATTCGGACTAATGCGACTTTTTCACTAGTCACTTTCCGGTACTGGTACTCATGATCATGTAGGCCTACAGTAGTAGTAATGAAATGAGTCATCCGTTGCAATTTTTAATTTTAACACAGACCAGCCATTCCTGCTTTACTTTAAAAACTCTACAACATGTAACAACCGCCATCTAGGAAAATCACCTGCAGAATCTCCACTTGTTACTAATGTTGTTATTCTACTTATCGGTAGTTATTTCCTCCCCTGCTCAGTAAAAAAACAAAAACAAACCACAAACACCCCCCCCCCAACAAAACGTGTTTAGGTCTATGACAAAGACACAGGAGCATTGTTCGTCCATCCATCTGTCCCAAACTCTCAAGACAACCACTTGGAATCTTTGAACCACTTTTCTCCTCGACCATGGGTGTTTCGCTCTTACTCTTTGACTCTAGTCTTAGAAGATCCACTGCAGTTTACGGAGAAAATTTTTAAAATAAAAAATAACTATGTGCCTGCGCTTGGCAACCGCACAAGACTTGGATGAGGCAAGAGTGGTCACTTTGTCTCTAGTTTTAGTAGAGGTTTTACGGCGCTCGCAACTGCTTATGGTCATATATGTATTATGAGCGCCAGAAGATTAGAGGTGCTACAAAACTACAAGAGAGTAACGAACATAATTCATGCACATGATCCCCAGGTCCAGTAGGTGGTACTGGTAGTTATTAATATTATTAACGGTTTGACAGTACACATACTAACATTTTTCAAATCCAGATTGGCTAAAAATAGTACACGGTAGTAATACACCATGTATTTTAAATTTTAGAAGTAGAAGTTTTACAGCGCGCGCAACCGCATCAAGGATGCGTCGCCAAGGGGTGGATGTATCAATGAGAATTCCAGACATTATTCCACAGAACATGTTTGAACTTTAAATTAATGTAGGTAGCTTTACATCCTTGACCCTATAGTCAAGTACATAGATCTATGTACACTTTTTATCAGACTGGAGGAACACACAATGTTCTTTTAACTTAGCCACAGGCTACCACTTGCACTGTGTTTTCGCTTTGATGAAGCGCCTTTCCACATCATTTTAAAATCTTTCTTAACAAACACTTGCACAATATTTCATTGATAAACAAAGTAGCCTATTATGGGCTAAAATGTTTATAAGGTATTACACAAATTCATTACACATGCTCAGAATTTATCTGACTACTACTACTACTAATATTGTTGTTGTCAAAGGATGGTCGCAGTCCTGAATGAAAGGATCTGTGCGGTACTACTAGTACTAGATCTAGTCATTTTATACTCATTGTGGGGGCTCTCGTGGCCTAGACGTTAAGGTGTTGGCCTCTCATTCAAAGGTCCCGGGTTCGAATCCGGGTAGCGACTGAAAAATTTTCTTCTCTAAAATTGTCTCCTTACACTTTCACCCCCTTTCCTGCTCTCTAGCAATGTTCTGTTGTCTGCTTTCATTTCCACTTACTCAGTCTGCCCCCACCCCCTCCTCTGGGCTCCTGACTCTTTGAAGTCTTTCTACTACTACTACTCCTTGGCCCCTCCTTACTGCTGTCTTTCTGCCACACCCCTGATCTTCTGGTAGTGATAGTGATAGGAAAGATCTACCCCTAGCCTTCTCGGACAAGGGCGAAAAATCTCGGAGGGCACGTGTGCAAGTCGCGCACGTTAAAGATCCCTTGGTGGTCTAAAATCGATAAAAGTAGGCTTCGGCCGCCACCCGGGCAAAATTCAAAATTTCCTACCAACTGAAAATATTAGGTGTGTCCCACGCGCTCCATATGACCTTATGTAGTTGCGAGCGCTGTAAAACACTTTACAAAAACAAACATACTCATTGTATTGTGCAAATTCTGCATAATACCTTGAAGTTGAAGACAAGTAAGAAAGCTTAACTCTTTTAAGTTCTTTACATTTCATATCGTGGAGACCCCGAATTTGTTTCATTTTCTTTTCCTTGTTTTTCACTCCCGAAAATAGATCAATTTAGCATATTGAGTCGATAAACCTGTTCTATAATCCAGAAAATAATCCCTTTTCTCTTATATTCTATTACCAAACGACGTGGTGTATTGTCAATTTTGTGTCTTTACGGACAATTATGTTCTCACAAACAGGCGTATCAGCTATTTTAGACCATTTCTTAAAAACTGAAGACACAATTTCTAAAACCATTATAGGGAATGATAAATCAGTGGTTGTACTAATATCTTGCAAAAAATTTAAACGGAAAAACAAACGGTTACGCCACAGCAGGAATTTAAAAAGTGTCCAAAAATTTGAAACGCTCTCCTTGAAAAATGCCCTTTCGTGAGATGGACGACAAATTACAGTATTGGGTACCACTACCATACAGTTCCAGTATATGATGTAGGCCTAATAAAATAATAAAGTGATGCAACTGACAGAATTGGTTCATAATCCTTTCCAGTTCCGGGAAAAAAAAAAAAAAATCAAGGGTAAGAAAAGACAAGAAGTTTCACCACCAACAAGAGTCCCTCACTAATTATCCATCTCCATGGTTATGTTGCCAGTTATTTCAAAGGCCTAGTACTAGTAGATACATATATGGTGAAAAAAGAAAAACTATTAGGCTACTACTATTAGTCTTCATCATGTTATGCATATCATGGACCACACACCATGCTAGATCTAGTTGCTACCAACCACATCAGTCAGTGCTGCTACTGACTGCTAGCAGTGGCGTTTTGTTTTACTGATCTTTTAGTTTCAGGAAGTTTTACAGTGCTCGCAAAAAATGAAGGTCATCTAATGATCTATGTGCCATGGGGTGGATGTCAACAGAGAAATCCAAAGAGGGAATCAGGCGTACTCTGCTCATCTCTCTAGTCTCAACAGCACAAAGTCTGCTTTGACTATCAAGGCACCCAGTTCACAAGAGTGACAAACATACAAAAGAAGTAGAGGAAAAATGACGATAAGGATGAGGAAAAATAACGATAAGGATGAGAAAAAAAAAAGCAGCAGTTCCCCCATGTTTTGACAGTATAGTAGGAGTATGAATGACATTATGACAATTTGCTCATTTACAATTTTACTGTGCATAAGAATATATGTTAATTTTAATATTTCCCCCATTGGGAATGGTCTAAAGACACTAACACTAGCCAGTTTCGCTTTAGTTTTAGTTAGTCTTACAGCACTTGCAACACAATAAGTAAGGTCATTACAAGTGCCGAAGATTAGAGGTGTTACAAGTACAAGAGAGTAAAAAAAAAGGAGGGGAGATAAGATAAAGACGATAGATGTGTGATAGGAAAGAAGAAGCAAACCACAATAGAGCACCTGCCAACCACCCACCACTAGTGAAACTAGAAGTACAATGTACCAGTAACAACACTGGCAGTACCTTTGGTCCATTTCACCCAAAACTGGGCAAGACTAGTTTTTAGCACACTTTGAGGTGTTATAAGAGAATAGCACACACAACAAGTGGAGAGACCAGGATGATAGAAAAAGAAGAGGAGAAAACCACACCAGAGCATCCACCAACAAGTCACTGAGCTCTCTTTGATGTAACTACTCTTTTTCTTTTCGCAAGTTTTACAGCACTTGCAACACAATAACGTCCTACAAGTGCCGACGAATAGATTTGTTACAAGTACAAGGAAGTTACAAACACAAAAAAGGAGGAGTTAGTTTTAGTAAAGGTTTTACGGCACTCGCAACTGCATAAGCCATATGAGCGCCAGAAGACTAAAGGTGTTACAAGAGAGTAACAAACATAAAAAAGGAGAGATAAACGATGATAGGAAAGAATTATAAAGTACACCCTCTGCCTTCTCTATGCACAGAACAATATATGCCAAACACGTTATTAGAGTTAAGAAGTTAACACAACACTTGCTACATACAAACAAAAGGAGAAATTAGAACAAGATGTGTGATGGAAGGGAAATAAACCACACCAAAGCACCGTCCCCACCCACAGTATGTGGAAGACATTATTCTGGTCAAGTCCACACAGCCCAAGTAGGGTATAAAATTTACAGTTTGCAAAAGTGAACATTGCCCAATTTGAAAACAAAACTGGAATCACCTTCCACCACCATGCCAATCATTTAAAACAGCAATTCTACCAGTGTCCATGGGGTTTCAGCTTGGTAAGAGTTTTAGTGCCCACAACTACTGGTGTCCAAGGGGTATATAATTTCCCTATGATCTATTAACATATTTCCTGTTCCTCAGCCATGATTGACCAAAACAGATTATGTCCTCAGGGTAAGGACGAGTAGGGGCCTACCGGTGTAAATTATTTTAAGGGAGCAAAGGTGTTTCAAACAGTCACCACATGAAAACGGCCAAGAGTACCAGTTTTCTGTCTAAATAAAAAAAATAAAAATGTTGACATGTTCAAGACAAAACAAGCTCCCAAATTTGTCATATGTCCAGAAAATGCAACTAAGTGCTCCCCCCTCCCGGAAACATCCAGCAATACAAGGAATCATATCCTCACACATTAAACAATGCTGAGAAGGGTCATCATTTATGGTATGATCCAACCATTTCCACAAGCACAACACACATCAGCCTTGTGAATCTCACTGCTGACCACTTTTTGCAACACATCAGGTGCACCAATTCATCAGAACATCCAAGATTTCCAAAACACCTTGAGACGAACGAAAAAATAAATTCGTAAGCTGGAAGTAACATTACACAAACACTTTATTACATAAAAAAAATAGAAACGATGATGATGAGAACCATGATGAAGAGTACAATCTGACTCATAAATTACATCTCAAGTAGCTCCAGAAGGACATGATACCAGTGTGATGGTTTTTTTTACAAACAGTTCATATAAGCAAAGGTGAAGTTAAGCAGATTCTTTGGTGGTCTCTGCTGTGCCATTTGATGATTCTGTTTCTTTCGAATCTGTCTTTGCCTTTTTCTTTGGACTCTCATCTTCCTCCTCTGCCTCCTCATCTTCTGCGGATCGTTTTTCTGCTGCCGATTCTGTTTCTGTAAAGTAAACAACAAATACACCAACATGAGAAAACCATTTGGCAAAAAACACTACAGATAACCAGGTTTAAAAATACAAAAACCAAGTTAAATCTGACATTACAACAGGTTGAAATCTCACCACAGGAATAAGTGTGCGATCTAAAAACAAGAGTAACATCTCTACATTCAAGAGAAATAAGGAAGAGAAACCATGCTTAGCTTGTCTGAAGTAGAAAGTTGTTTAGTATTGTAGAAATGTCACTCTATCATCAATAATGGCATTGAGATCAGCCACACAACTTTATGCCACTTTGAAAACTTACAGATAAGGATGTGGCATCCACACGTGGATACGGCAGGGCTAACCATCCACCAGCATATGTTGTCAGTAATCAGCGATAATTGAATAATCAGTACAGTAATCTCCGCCTAAATGCAGGGTGCTTGGGAGAAATTAGTGTGCTTTTACGGTGTTGCTGATATCTTAGTAAACTTAGTTTCTAGAGGAGTGGGGGTAACTGGCTGACAATAGGACGAAACGTCACTGTTTTGTGAAGGATTCCCTCACTGCAGTTATGAATGCAAAGGCATTGAAAGGGTGGGAAAGAAAGCAGAAAGGATGGACTCACACTGATGTGCACTGTTTAAAGTCAAGAACATAAGAGGAAACTACTGGTATAGAGAAAAGCGCTCACTGTTCTGCCTGAGGAACAGCAACACTTGCACCAAACATCCTGAAAACCTGGCATCTCTTATGCTAATTTTGCAGGCAATAGCAAAAATTTCCCCTTTGCCACGCTCTCCCTGTTGGTCTGTTTAGAAGTGACTGCACCCGTACACCTAAATCATACAGCAAAAATACCCACTATATGACGAAAGCGTATGTTTGAGCGGAGACTACAGTAATACGGCCAAGGATATGTTTTCTTCCATGGGGCGCCAAGGGAAGTGGTTGTACCCAAGCAGGTTTACCCCCCAAAAAAACTACAGAATACGCCACAAACATTTAACCATGATTGTGCATCACAACACACCATACCATGCATCCATCGTGAATTTTATCCAATTTCTAACAATTTAAAAAATATTTTTTAAATTGTCTTATCAGTCAAACTTCACCAACACAAAATGGCAGGAATTTTATATCTAAACCTATTGTTTTTCTGAGGGCACAAGGGATGCTATATATGGGCTCAATGCAAGGAGGGTGTCAAACAGCTGCATGTGACGTAGACTAAACTGTCCAAAGTTGGTAGGTCTACTCTCCTCACACCAGGAACGTTGGGATGGCATACTTTAATTCGACAGAATTCTAGTGATGGGCGGCCCGATATGGAGCAAGACTATTGTAACAAAACAAACATGTTAAAATGTGCCACTATGCCGCAGGAATCACAATTCAGTACCACAACTTTCAGTTGAAAATGCTTACATCTCTTGCCATTACCGTACACTATTTTGAGTGAAAATAACAAAACTTTCAGTCAAAGTTCTAACTCATTACACTAACTCGCCCGCTCCGACCAGGCATCATTAGAAACGAAGTCTTGCCTTCTTTATGAGACTGGGGCTCAGATTTTGTTTTACTTAGTTGTTGCAAATTGTTTCTTCTTCCATATGATAGCGAAAGACATTTTTTTCAGGTGAATAGTTTTAGCATTAGAGCAGACCGAAGTGTGATCGCGTTTCCCACACTTCGAAGGTGTCTCGAAAAGCGACACAATCGAGTTTTAAAAAGGATATAACAATGGATCTTGGCAAGAACAAGCAGATGACGTAGAACTTACATATATATCTGCAGCCAGGCTGAGAGAGATGGGTTGGACACCGTGATTGAACTTAATTTAATACATCAACATTTCGTGACATGCGACTAAACGCAGAAAGACGCATCTTCCCGATTTGCAGCCATTTTAGTAATGTGATATCACTTTCTGGGATACACACAGGAGTATTATTATGAGCAATGGAGTTACCAAAGATTCTCTACTACACTACACGATCTTTGGAGATACCGCATAGAACGACAAGTTGGGTCAGTGCTACACACAGCACCAAGGTAGGTATACACGATCCGTGGTGCCATGCGATTGGCTGTTTAGATTATGTAGCCACATGATCGGAGGGGTATCCCAGTCTGACGTCACACAAGATGGCCGCCTTATCTAAAAATAGTGTAGTTCTACGTTTAGTTTCATGTCAGTTTGTGTAGGCATAGTTTTATTTTTTCCAGGAACTAGATCTACATGACATTTCTCTTTGTAATTGTTATTTTAAAAAGGATTTTGGAATTTGTTCAACATTTTTAAAATGCGTGTATTCACAGGAGGTGGGTCCTCTCACATTGCTTAGGACCCAGGGGAAAATTTCCCGCCCAGACCCTTAGGGTGTAATGAGATGAACTACGTGGATAAACCCAATCCTTGCCAAGTGTTCTTCGGAACAAGGCCACACAAAATAAAGAGTTAAGTTCCACAAATTCAATACTGCAAGATTAGATGAGCAAAAAAGAATTTTTAAAAACCAAACCACCGGATATGTAAAACAAATATGGACTTGATTTGTACAGGTGCAGCAGCAACTTGACCGTAACAGAGCAGCCCTGACGATAAGCAAAACAATTCTGCAATGTTCAGAACAGGACAGATGTCACCCAAATTCTAAGTATCCTCACCTGTGGTTTCCTCTGTTTTTTCTGTGCTGTTGGCGTTTTCATTTGTGTTCTCTTCTTCTTCTTCTTCCGTCTTCTCCTCGGTGGATTCCTTTTCTGCTGGTTTTTCTTCAACCTGTACATGAAAGACAAATATAGTTAAAATGCTAAAATAAAATAAAAAAATAAAAAAGGAGCAAGCATTGTCAGCCATACAAACAAATCAAATTTAACTGCAGCAGGGGTACTGAATCCCACCAATAAGCTTTAGTGGCTATGTGTGATCTGCAGCCAACCAAAGCAGTGCATCCCTGTTGGAGTGATGACCCTGAAGTCCAGATGTTTCTATATATCCAAGTGCTCTTATTAACAGGTGCATTTTTTTCGAGTGGCATTTGATTGGCCTAGTCTAGTGCCATTATGGAAAACTTTCTTGCTAACAAGCAGAAAGCATAATATAACTGAGGCCAACAAAAAATTGAATGATCCCATTCCACTGCTGGCTTCAGTCAAAAACTCCCAAATCACAGATTTTCAAGAAAATTTCAAACCTAACTGCAAAACAAACTGGGTCAAAACAAGGATGTAATCCACCAATTGACCTAAAGCCCAGAAATAACGCAAAAGGCTTGGTGTGATAAAGTTGATTAAAAACCAAATATTTACAACATTAATTTGTGACGGAAGTCGATATTCGAGTGCAGCGCATCAGTGTTGTAGAAAATGAACATCTAGAAAATCTAGCAGGTAAGTGTGAGATGGGAGAGAAAGTAAAACAATACAATAAAAATTTAAAAAAATAAAAAACCCCGCTTCACACTGTTAGTACCATAGCACTTTTCTTGTTCACATTTACTTTTTAAACCCCATCGGGCAGAGGGAATGTCCGGTGGTAATAACTCGTTCTCCACCGGACGCTGGGAGTGTCCAAGACTAGAATCTTTTGAGACACTGCACCAAGTTTAGGTGACAGTAGAAAAAGCTCCGGAATTGAAAATGGTAAAAAGAGATGAAAATTCCGCCCCACAAACAAGCACAACACCCCCCCCCCCCCTGTATTGTTAAGCTTCGTTTTCAAAAGGTTTGCAGTTTACTCCCAACCCAGTGCCTCGTAGAATTATTCTATCGCATCAGGCAGTTTTGATGGGTCGGATCGGGCCATCACCTATTTATTGACAGAAGCGCATTGATTTTTCCGCCCGTTTGGAATCATGGAACAAATTTTGACTATCTCTTACAGCAAAACCTAACCTTGCCAAATACAAATGTCAATGTTGAAAAGCAATTTTAGGTGAAGAAAAATTACCTTCAGGAAACCAAACCAAATGTTAGAATGACTCAACTATATATGACAAATAAAATAACTGTCGCATCAATATGGACCTGTCATCAAGTTATGAGCAGGTCCCATGCCAACAATTTTTTAAAAACTGTCCGGAATGTGCTTTGAAGAGTGAGTAAACCCCCCCCAACCGTATCCTAGGCGGTCCCACCGAACTGCACAAGACCACAAAGTAGGCCTATGTCGCTTTGGACAATTAATATTTTTATCCACCAGCCATAAGTCATGATAAGACAAAAAATTTAAAGACGGATATACCTCGGCCTCTCCGTCTGTTTTGGCTTTCACATCCTCCACTGTCTTTGCCACAATAGGCTCTGTGGTGGTCTCGGGGGTCTCAACAGCTACTTCGTCGTCCCTGAAAAGCAAATGAATCAGAAATGTTATTGCTTGACTAAATATTTACCTCACTTTCAACATACAAATATAAAATAATGGGTACACTACTTCAATTTCCAAGTCTAAATCGAACATCTATAATTTAAGGCCATACTAAAAGGTAAAAGGACGTGTCTTCATGAAAAAACACCAAAAGATATGATTGAATTGCTTGAAATCAATTCACCCATCTAAACCCTTCCCCCTTAATGCGACTAGTAGAGCAATGAAGTCTTACCTGACGCAAAAAGATACTATAGGCTAGGGCTACATGATAATATAATAGATCTAAGCATTCGTAGAGAGCGCAAATCCCTGCTCCACAGCAAGCTCTATGCGCTTCACAATCTATACTATTACCCCAGCAGACCTCAGAGCATTCTGAAAAAAACCCAACTTCCTGGGAAGCATATAGTGCAAGCGGCCATTTATAGACGCTAAAACACTAACAAAATCTTTCGTTGTCTATGGCCGGGTACCTATTCCCACCTGGCCGAAGTAAGGAAAATTCGTGTAAAGTGCCTTTCCTAAGGACACAACGTCAGGCCCGCGCCTCGAACCCCCAATCTCATGATGAACACGGGGCATCTTGGAGAAGTCTGAAGATCTTCAATTTGAATATGGCGGTTAAATCCTGTGACCAGTGATGTCCCCTCCCAAATAGGCTAGATCTACATATCGTATCTTTTCAATAAATTAAGCTACTTTCCAAATATGACAAATCCTATTGACTCATTGTTCACCCAAGAGGAATTTCGTGGACAGAGCCGTAAGTTCATTGATGGGACTTGGAAACATTATTGTAGATTGGTGTGTTGCTTTTGAATGATTTAATTAACCCTGAAAAGGGCCGGGTGGTTTGCTGCTGCTGCTGCTCACATATTTGCAGGGGCAGTGGCTGGGGTTCTGACATAAGGCGGGGAGACAGGCTCGGGAAAAATCCCGACAGGCCTCATTCTGTAATGACGGGCTGGCCACTTGGAGGTGCTGACTTCCAGGAGGATAAAGGCTAAAGCTAGTAGGATGACACAAAACTTGCAGGACAGGATGCTGTGGCCGAGTTCCCGCAGCTCTGGTGATAGGTTGAGCCCCTGCAGGAAGATGGTCGTGCGGAAGCTTTTCCAGGATCCCCCTTTCAACCTAGTTCTTCAATAGAGCATGCTGTTCCTTTCAACCTAGTTCTTCAATAGAGCATGCTGTTATCTCCCTCAGCTGCACATCTCCAGGATGGTGAGGCCGGCTGGAACCTCTTCCCCTTTTGCCTTTTGGGTAAAATTGAAGATTTGTGACTTTAGCAGGGTGTGTGTGTGTGTGTGTGTGAAACACCCCCCTGCCCCCTACCGGAGTAGATCTAGTGGTCTGCTAAATGTTCAAAGCCCCTTTGTCCCCTGGGAGCTGGCAGATGGGAGGCCTTCCAACTTGCACCAGTTCCTCCTGGCGTGAGGAGGAAGTCCAGGTTGCTGTACTGTGGACATTTCCCAGCCTGCCATCCTGCGGATGTGGTCCTTTAGGAAGCAGAACCGATTCAGGATCCAATTATCCATGGCAATTAGCATCTTACCCATCAGTCCCTTTTTCTGCATTTTGCCAAACTGGGTCCTCCTCATCATGGAGTCAAACCAGGCCTTTAATCCTGCAGCTGTCTTTCCCATAGTCTTGAAAGCTCCACCAGGGCAGGGCATTCTTCCTCTAGGTATCTGTACCCCTCCAGGGTCTTGTTGAAGAAGATGACCTGCTCTCGGTATGAGATGACAGGTCATCAACTGTGAGCTGTACTGTTACTGCAGCCTGTCTTGATTTCTTGGCTTGATGTAGAGGAGTTTCAGAGACAGCAGACTGCACTAGAGTGCTCAGGAGATGCCACCACTGGAGACGCAGACCTTGGGAGTAGAACATTCTGGGCTCTTCAAAAGCAGGAGCTGGACTGGGAGCAGCACCATCATAATCCAGAAGGCAGACTGGACAGCAGGGCTTGATGAAAAAGCAACATATCTAGAATCTAGATCTCCATCTTTTCTGTCATTAGCCAGGCTATTGTTTTGCATTTAGATCTGTACGTGTAAACACGGTGGGTCCACCAGAGTTAAATTCGGTCGAGGCCGATAGCTCGGCGAAATGTAGATTTATCCAGAGTAGCCCAACCTGCTGGACTGAGAAATGTCATACTTGGCTTCATTACTCCTGTAGATTGTGAACACCGCATAACAAAGATATTTGAAAACTGAATCAGACAGTCATCTGGGCTAGGCTAGTAAATTTGAAACCACCGCTATGTGGCGCTGTGCGTAAGTTCACAATTGAATGGAATCACGCTTTCCAAGAAAAGCGAACGCAGCAGCGGTCGGACCTGACGGCTTTATAGAATAGGCTAAACCTACTTCCCTCCCCTACCACAACCGTTTCAACTTGAGTCACAATGCAGACTGAAATGTGAATTCAAATCAAAGTTCTAAAGACTAAAGTAGTCTAGCCAGTTGGCAATTTATAGACTAGATTAGAAATAGATTCCACCAGCGAAGAATAGAACATGGCGTGGGCACAGATTCTTAATGAATGGGTTTCGACGACTGAACAGGGCCAGGGCTTAAAAAAAAAATCGGCAAGAATCGTCAGTCTCGGGAATAAATTCAGACCTCGACTCTAAATTCAATTCCATAAAATGAAACATTTGCTTTATATATACCATAGGGAGTTTATTTTAGCAACACTATGCTGGGGATTTACCAGCGGACGCAAAACCCCTTTGGCTTGTCTTAATTTTTCTTTTTTAAGGATGTCAAAAGGCTTTCCATGTCAAAAACTTGACAAGTTGACACATCTAAAATGAAAGTTTCAAACAGGTAATAAAAAAATTAGGGCACTCTAGATTCAAGATCTAGTCTAACAGTGCCTTATAACACCAACTATCAAAAGCGCGAGTCCAAAATCAATTATTTTCATTCCCTGGATCGATGCCAGGAAGCGAATTCGCTTCACCGCCGGTCCGCAAAAAGGCAGACAGCATACAACGTGGGTAAAAAAAAGACTGAACATATTGTTTACTTAAAGGCTAACGTTAAACGAAGAGAAGGAAATCCAAAAATATGTTGACTATATTCAATCATTTAAATTTCAAATAGAGTAAAAAGAAAAAACTTACTTGGTTCCAGGCATGATGGCAAAGTTTGAAAGTAATCCTCACTGGAGCTCACAGAAAACGAACTGACTCCTACCGCGACAAAGAGAAAGATGCGAACGAAACAAATTTAGATTCGCGCTCAATTTCCTTCCCGCATTCTGTCACGTGGGACCGTCAAAACCTTTGATTGGTCAGATAGTCCACCAGACGAAGAATTGGAAGGGGTTACGCATGCGCAATTGGACGTTTGGCAATTCTGATTTCGCACGTTTTCAAATTTCGTATAGTAAGAAGTAAAATACGAAAATATTTTCAAAAAGGGCCTTAAAACAAAAAACACGCTGTGCTTCTGGTAGCTATTGAGCACCATAAGCCCATACAATGTTTACAGAAAATACTAACTCCGACTATCCACTATTTTTTTAGGAAAATGTTTTAACCTACATTACAAGCGTGAGTGGAAATTTCCACTCTTCCATATTTGGGCAGACTCGGTTTATTCCGGTCGACGACAACAACCGAAAACATGACCGGAAGGAAGTTCGAACGAAGCAGAACCGAAACAACAATACGTTACTCAAGGTTTTGGTGGACTTTGGTTAACGCCCACTTGCGAACTACGAGCCTATCTTGGACTCAGTTTCCTCAACACACTCTTTACAAAAGTCATGAGGGTCGATTACAACAGTCTCAACAATTTGTTGAAGGTATACTGGTATTTAACATGATGACATGATAATACACCATCTTAATCTTGCCCTTCCCTTCACAAACAACAATAGATCTAGCCTACCGACATTAGGTCATTTGGTGATCTTGTAGTTCCTAGAGTCCATGATCCATTTGTTTACATCCAGAGAAGAAATCCCGAAGTCTTGATGACCAAATACTATTTGAAATAAGGAAGATTGAAAAATACCGGACCACTCGTACATTATTGCTCGAGAAAGTGGGGTAGGTGGGGCGGGTGGTTGGGGTGGAGGAGGGGGGTTTCGGGGGGGTCTCCCCCCTGACAAAATTTTAATGAATAGATCTACCGGTCCGAGATTCGGTAAGATTGAAGAATACCGGACCAGCGGACTGACTTTGCCTATGTCTCAACCTTAGAAATTCATAATTTTCCCGTTTTTAATATCTCTCTGTCAATGGAGAATCTCGCACTGGTAGATCTATTCATTAAAATTTTGTCAGGGGGGAGACCCCCCTGAACCCCCCCTCCCACCTCCTCCACCCCAACCACCTGCCCCACTTTCACGCGCAATGATGTACGAGTGGTCCGGTATTCTTCAATCTTCCCTGAGATTCTCCATTGAGAGATATTAAAAACGGGAAAATTATGAATTCCTAAGGTTGAGACATAGCCAAAGTCAGTCCGCTGGTCCGGTATTCTTCAATCTTACCTTGAAATAGGCTACACAAAGAGCAGGGATGCAAGCAACCTAACTGCAAAACATCAAAGAACCCCCCTAACCTCCATATTTTTATTTGGCCAGGGGTTGCCCCCCTGAACCCCCCCTACTCCTACTCTTGACTTAAACGAACGAAACTACAAAATCGCCGTATATTTATCATCATCATTCAAATTCATTCATCAATCATTATACTGCCCCTGTACACTTGTACATGATAAGCTTAGGCTAAATGACATTTTTTGTACACGACCTCTTTCGTTCCACCATTCAATGCCATCAGTCAGAATGTGACAAAAAGTTATTCTCCCCTCACACTTGTCTAAGCTATACAACAGTGTAATAAATGTAAATTCCATGTAGATCTAGCATGTTTATAAAAGCTTTGATGGGCCGTGGTTCCGTTCGGAAATAAGACAAATGTTGTAGCGAAGTCACGCAAAGTTATATCTAGGCCTAGGCTAAATGATTCAGAAAATCAGTCTGCTGTACACCATACAGAGCCTTGGTTACATCAGGACGACAAGCGAGGTCTTCCAGCAAAGATGCTAAAATGGGAAAATTGTCCGTGACTCAAGGGAAGATGAAGAGGGGTAAATGAAACGGGGAAAAATGGTTGGGGGAGATTTTATAGTTCTATACTCTCAGGAATTGAACTCACATCCTCTAATTTTGTGTGCAGTGGTGAACAAGCAAACCACTACACAAAGATGGGTACGTTTCTACATATCTCCATCTCGCCTTTAATAATCTTATGCTTTGTCTGTTGAATTCGAAAGTGAACAATTTTTTTGTGTGTGATTATTTTTGTTTGATCTTCTTTTGTGTGTCCACTAAATAGATGTTTTATTTTAATGTATATTCCCCCTAGGTTCCATCCAAGCAAGAGCTTGTCAGCTTGTGCCAGAATGCTTTTCTGTATCGTAAAGAAAGTCCAGCACAGTGGCCTGACTCGTTGATACAGAGCACGTCTGATATGCTTGGTTTGTCAGTTGCTGAGACGCAACAGGTAGGGAGCATTTTTGGTGACACTTAATTCCAAAGTTTGTTAGGTCAAGTCACAGTAGAGTGCCGAAGATTAGAGGTATTACCAGAGAGTAATATAACAAACAAAAGAAAGAGGAGAGATCTAGAGACAAATGTTTTAGAGAGGAAAGCAGAAGCAAGCCACGTCAGAGCACCTGCCAACCATCCACTTTCGTTAACAAAGAGAACAGGTGGCGACTACTGTAATTAATAGCAACAGTTATTGGTATCAGTCCTATAACTAAATGTACTTCTTTCACTTTATAAGATCTTCAGGATGCACAGTCATGCTACCTTTACTCAACTACTTATATGGACATATGAAGTGACGTTTAAATTATTACTTTAAAAAGCTCTAGTTTGTGTGATTTTAATATTCATTGCTTCTTGGTCTTTTTCTACCTTACTTATTGTTCTTTGAGTGTTTAGATTTTATCTTCCTTTACTCGGGACTCACACTATCATTGCTTTTTGTTAGTGACGTCATCCACTACTCATGTCTGAACCATCCGGTCACCTAGTTTAAGTTGTGTGTGTGTGATATTTTTTCCACTTTCACTAACTGTTTTTGTGAATCCCTGCCCCCACACCCCCACCCCTACATGTCAACACAAACACACAAACATACACATACACACATATATATACACACACTCACACACATGCTCACACACTCATGCACATGCACTCACACACACTCACACACATGCACACACACTTGCACACACACTCACACAAATGCACACACCCACACAACTGCTTTCAGTGCCTCCTGACCCTGAGTCATCTCATCAAGGCTGCGTTGTTCCAGGGATCCACTGATCCACAGGAAGTCATTACGCTCTTCCCAGGTCAGACGGACGTTTTTGTCGTGTGTTGTCCCCCTCTTAGACATTACATTATTCTACACTGACAGAACGCTTATTTTTTCTTGTTCACAGCAGTTTCGAGAAATCAACGATTATCGATTTTCTTATAATATCTGATGAGCATAGGAATTACACTCTCTTCAGGGTAAAGATCAACCTATGAAGTGCTGTGCAAATTAGTTTAGATATTATAATAAAACTGAAAATCTTTGATTTCTCGAAAATGCTGTGAATAAGAAAAAGACATTTTGTCAGTGTAGGGCAGTACAGTGTTCCTTTGAATATCGTTGGGGTTACATTCTGAGCTTTATATGATACGGTAAAACAGCGAAGTAGAATATGATATATAATATATGGTCAAAACTGTCTCAGATGACCACCTGTTGTTGTGGAGAAATGTTGTAGTCATAGACAGACAGGTGTATCAGAGAGTGTCATTTTAATGTAGAAAACTCGGAACGGGGGGAGTAGGAAGTGTTTGTTTGTGTACAGGTGATCGTCTCAAAAAGTTGGCCTTTAGAACAAGTTTCACTGTATTATGTATTTTAGGTCTTTGTAAACTTTGTCCCCACTCTTATGAAACAAACATTTCCTACACTTGGAGTACGAGAAACCAATGGTATTTAAAGATCGAAGTAAAACATTCGTATACATATTTGTTAACAGCTTTACTAAAATTAAAATTTAATGTTTGGATTGGCCACATCTCGGCCAATTGTGAGTCTGCGATATACCGAGTTTGCGAAATGTGAACAGCACTGCCACGAGGGACTCCTGTAGTGTGTGGTTTCATATGTGCAGAATGTTGTCACTCATCAGGACAACCTGTGTCCGCGCTGAAGCAGTTACCCGCTTCACTGTCACTGTCACATGCTTTAAAAATTCTATTTTGTATCATAATGATAATAGATAATAATAATAATAATAATAATAATAATAATAATAATAATAATAATAATATCAATAATAAAAGTTGTCCCCACATCCAATCCAGACATTGGGGATTGCCTTGTTAGTGAGACTACTTCCTGGGCCTTCTTCATATTGTGGTAGGGTGGCCAGTTCCTCTCCACGCCACCTTTGCTTCCCCAACTCGAAGTCAGATACCCGTTACTGCTGGGTATAATATAATAATTATAATATAATAATAATATGAAATAATTTTATATAATATATAATAATAATTGTCATTATTTATTATGATCATCATTATTATTATTATTATTTTTATTATTATCATCATCATTTTTCATTAGTATCTATTATTATTTTTATTATTGTTATTCCTTTATTGTCATTATTATTATTGTTTATTACATTATTTGCATTTTTTTGGTAGCGTATGTTGCTTGTATGGGTGCCATAATATGATATCTGAGAGCACCACTAAAGATTGTTAGACACTGTTGTTATGGTTGAGAAAAACCACTTGTCAGTCATTGCTACTACGCTGTTGTCGCTCCTGTAGAAAGATAGCTAGCTATATATATGGCAGGAGTTGTGATGGTGATGATGAGGATGATGATGATGATGATGATGAGGATGATGATGATGATGATGATGATGATGATGATGATGATGATGATGATGATGAGGAGGATGATGATGATGATGATGATGATAACCATAGGTATTCAGTCCAAGAAAAACCATACACACCAGTTGGCCGACATTTCAACGGTCCTGGTCACAATGGAGCCTCCGATTTGCAGCTTCAGGGTATTGAAATAGAGCTAGTCCAATGTCCAACTAAAGAAAAACTCAACCAAAGAGAACCAATGTGGATTTGGAACTTGGGGTCTCGCAAAATTCTCACTGGCCTTAACATCGACGAGCCACTTTTTAAGGGCCTTAAATTTACCACGTAACGTACTAATCACCCCTTGTATTCCAGTGACCCCCTCCCTTTGGCCCTGCCTTTCCGTTATATCGCACTTGTCCCCCCCCCCCCTCTCTCTCTCTCTCTCTCTCTCTCTCTTTCTCTCTCTCTCTCTCTCTCTCTCTCTCTCTCTCTCTCTCTCTCTCTCTCTCTCTCTCTCTCTCTCTCTCTCTCTTCTGGCCTTAGTGTTCCCCTTTCTCTGGCTCTTCCGATTAGTGCTCACCGCTCCTTTTAGCGTTGTGACATGAATGTACTCACTTTGGTTTTTACAGCTGGTGTAGATCTTGATCTAGATCTAGTCATTTATATTTGGAATGTTCCCGATGAAGCCAGTTGAGGGCGAAACGTTGAACTTGTGATTAAATATTTTGGAAATACTACCAGATCTCAACCGTTTTAATATTTGCTTTATACAATGATGAGGATGATGGTGATGAGGATGATGGTGAGGGTAATCAGAACGGATTAGGTAATGCTCTTGAGAATCCAATAAAATTATTAGTGCTATTATTATTAGTATTTTATCCTTATTATTATTGTTATTATTATTACTATTATTATTATCATCATCATCATCCTTATTATTATTATTAATATTATTGTATTAATAATCATTATTCTTAATATCATCATTATTCTTAATATCATTATTATTATTATTATTATTACTATAATTATTGTTATTTATTGTTATATCTTATTATAGTGACTGTTTGTGTTGTGTTCCAGACAACTTCCACAAGAACCTGCGGGATCTTCTCACCAAGATCATCCGGGACAAGATGGACTCGTGGCGGGCTGACGCCGTCAACTCTCAGGGTGAGTAGCGACTTCTTGCACTTCCTTCGAACCTGCGTCTGTGGTGCAGCGGTTAGGTGCTTCACCGTCACATGCATCAGACGCGAGTTTGATTCCCAACAGGGGAGAATCTTTATTGAGTATCTCCTTCTTTCTGCTGGGATATTGTATCCCTATCACCTGGAGTTGGCCTTGATAGTTTTAGTTTTAGTAAGGTTTTACGGCGCTCGCAGCTGCATAAGGTCATATGAGCGCCAAGGGGTGGATGTCAACAGAGAAGTCCAATGGGGAATCAGGTTTACTCTGCTCACCTCTCTAGCCTCAACAGCACAAAGTCTGCTTTGACTATCAAGGCACCCCGGAAATAGCAGTTCACAAAAGAGTGACAAACATACTAAAGAAATAGACGAAAATGATGATGGTAAAGATGACGGGAAAAAGGCAGCAGTTCCCCCTATGTTGTTCCGGCACAGTATGAGCGTGACATTGATAAATCAGCCCGTTTACAATTACAATTCTACAATGCATGAGAACATGTTAATATCCCCCCTTTGGGAGTGGCCTAAAGACAACAGGTAAGATAGAAGTCCACTCCCTCTATGATCAAAATTGTGTTGATGGGTGGTTAAAAACTCCCAAATTAAAATTTGAAAAAAAAAAAGATTATTTCATTTGATCATGATGATAATGTTCTTTGTATTTGGCACCTTTGAGAGATTCTTTGTAAGGTAACAAACTTACAGTCCATATTGTCCAAGAGGGCCACCCATTGTCAGAGAGAACAGAGGTTTTCTTAGACAGTTATACGCTGTGGGAGTTACCAGACATTTACAAAAATGTATGGCTTTGTCTTCTCTGCAAAACTTTTCATGGAAATAAGGCACAGAAACAAGTTTGGCCCTTCTGCTGTCTCCACCAAGTGGGCGTTTTGGGGTGCACTAGTGTGGTTTACCCCTTCCCTTTTTTCCTATCAGACATCTTTTATCTATCGTCTTTAATGTTACAGCTCTCCTCCATTTCTTTAAAATGTTTTTGTCTCGTAACACCTCTAATCCTTAACGCTTATAATAATGACCTGGTAGCGTCGTTGGCCTCGTGGTTACGCTACCGGACTCGTAATCGTGGGATTGCAGGTATGGGAGTTTGGGGTTCAAGCCTCAGCTCGGTCCGACATTGTGTTATTGGGGAAGGCACTTTACGCGAGTTTCCCACTTGGTTCGGTCCTTTCGGAGATGGACATTAAACTCGGGGGTCCAGCCTCTTAAATAACCTAACTGTGTTTATATGGGCGTTAAACTGTTACTGTGGGTGGTTGGCGGGTGCTCTGGTGTGGTTTGCTCCTTCTTTCCTACAAAAAAATTATCGTCTCTACCCCCCCCCCTTCTTTTTTATGTTTGTTACTCTCTTGTAACCCGTCTAATCTTCGGCACTTATGTGACTTTATTGTGTTGCAAGAGCCATAAAACTTTTACTAAGACTGAAATAAAACCCGTTACCATTCCACCTTTTAATATGACCTATTTGTGTTGCAAATGGCGTAAAACTCTCACTAAATAAAACCTAAACCATGTGTCTCCAGTCTCTGGGTTATTCGCCCAGCAAAACGTATCGCTACCATAGCGTACTTTAAAGAACGCCATGATCGCTACACAATTACGTTGTACGTGTATCTCCCCCGGAACATTCCCACGTGGTTAAGTAAAACTGGGCCCAGCACTTTGTCGACGTTTCTTTTCCATCGGGGCAAGGGGCCGTTTGTTGAGCCGGGGGTAGGGGAGGAGGGGAGGGAGGCGGGAGATCTTTGGTCTTATTCTATTGACCCGACCGATCGGCTACAAGAAGAAGAGCCAGAGCCCTTCCCGCCAAAAATACCGAGGGCTGTTGAGAAATGTCGAGGCGGTGCATGCGGCGAGTGGGGGTGGGCAGTGGGGCCAGTTTGTGGCTGTGCGTCTTGGCGACTGGCGTGGGCGAACATGCCGCCTCCTTCGATTGCTCGAATGTTCGAATGCTCGAATGGCGACTTTTTATTCTTTGATATAATTTTGCTCATGATACCAACAGTTTTTAATTGTTCCAATACTTGATGTTGTTGTGTGACAGGAAAGAGGCTAAATTTAAAGTAAGGTTCTTGTGTGACAATGTGACAACGAGCACACACCGTTGTGTTTAGAACGATAACCTTAATTTGTTTCGTGATCACAACCCTCGATTTGCGATCCCTTTGACCTGTTACTGTAGTCGTTGTGTTTTGTATAAAAACCGTTCTGACACTTGTGAGTGGTTGGCGGGTGCTCTGGTGTGGTTTGCCTCTTCTTTCCTATCGAACATCCATCGTCTTTATCTCTCCCCTCCTTCTTTTTTGTGTTTGTTACTCTCTTATAACACCTCTAATTTTCGGCTCTTATATGACCTTATTGTGTTGCAAGCGCCGTAAAACTCTTACTAAAATAAAAACTAAACTAAACGATAACCATAATTTATCGTTTCGTGATCACAACACTCGATTTGCGATCCCTCTGACCTGTCACTGTAGTCCTTGTATTTTGTATAAAAACCGTTCACACACTTGGGAAGGGAAATAATATTTGAACTGGGCGGTCGGTCGCCATGCAACATTCAGAGTCATCAGAGAGGGAAACGTTCACGGTGAGGAGAGAAGGCGATATGGTCTTAGTTTAGTTTTTAGTTTTAGTAGAGGTTTTACGGCGATCGTAACTGCTTTAGGTCATTATGAGCGCCGTCTTTTCAATGTGTCCCTGTGCACAACCAACCACACACAATTGTAGGGTTGGCGGAGAATGAGGGGAGGACCTAGGTCTATCTCTCTACGTTGGTCTCATGCTTGGCAGATTAGATGAGTGGGTGGTTGGCGGGTGCTCTGGTGTGGTTTGCTTCTTCTTTCCTGGGGGTGCTCTGGTGTGGTTTGCTTCTTCTTTCCTATCAAACATCTATCGTCCTTATCTCCCCCTTTGTCTTTTTTATGTTTGTTACTCTCGTGTAACACCTCTATTCTTATGGCGCTCCTATGACTTTATGCAGTTGCGACCGCCGTAAAACCTCTACTAAAACTAAAAACTAACTAGATAAGATGGCACTTCAAAAGAAGACAAAGAAAAGAAAATATTACTTCTTTTGAGGTATCAGAAAGTATGGACACTGGTATCGAGCCTTTAGAGTGTCAGAGTATTAGAGTGTCACCGACGAGAGAGTGTCACCGACGAGAGAGTGTCACCGACGAGAGAGTGTCTCTCTCTCTCTCTCTCTCTCTCACTCTCTCTCTCTCTCTCTCTCTCTCTCTCTCACTCTCACTCTCTTT